GTATTACTGATGTTAATATCTCTTTGACAGGATTGAAAAATAATGAACTACAGCCTTGCAAACCAAAATCATATGGTGCTGAAGTAAGGCTTAGTGTCTGGAAACAGTCCTGGATTAAATACAAAAATCAGATACATGTGCACTACTGAATTGTCTGGCCATGTGAAGACAGGTGGGCATCTTTTACGGCAGACAGTCCTGTCTCTCATCACTGCACAGAGTGCATACTGTAGTGACACCAAAGTGTGAACTCAACTACACTTGCTTTTAGATGTCAGGGCACGTGGAGCCACGAGTCCCCTCCTCCCACAAATTATCATTAATATCATCATCATAACACACCACACGCACGAGCCTGATGGGTCCCTAATGGAATCAGTACAGTTCAGAGCTACTTGTGCCACATGTTACAAACACAAAACAGATATTCAAGGACACTGGCTGCTGCATGTGTGAATCAGTCTGCCGTTAATTCAGTTAACATCGGTGAGTGATGCGGGTTGTTTTGTTTGCACTGCACTACTTTAGTATACATGTGGAAGCAGAGGGCGATGTTCTCTTTTCTCTCTCGCAGCAATGTAAACAAACATGTCTACGGCGGTGAGACATTTGTTGCACGCAGCTCTCCTCAGCATCAACCCAAACAATGTGAAACGGATCCATTATAAGACCATACATCCGTGTTATATCGCCGTTTTCCCCAGGGGCTGGCACACCGCGTACCCCGGGCTCTTGCGCAAGAACTATTGGCGAATTCCTATCAAAACAGGAAGCTCGCATGGGTCCGAAACGGCTACAACACCAGAGGACCACTCACTCTCCACCAGCACCAAGCCCTGCCAAAGCACCGAAAACCGACTGGTGCATGACGGGATGACACAAAAATTGGGTTTACCTGCTTCCCTCGGTAGAAGAGGCGCTGCTGTTGTGGGCTTACATTGAAGATGTCCTGTATTTTCAACCGTAAAGACTCAATTTTGGTCAATCTAGAAAGATCCTCCACGGTTCGCGTCTCCTTCCCGTCTATAGTACGAACCTGGATCCACATCGTTGCACCGCCCTGTTACGCCTCAAATAAATAGCAGATAAAGCAGTATTTGGACGCGAATAATGGTTTCCAGGGGTGAAAGGAGGTGGAAATAAAAAATGATCAGGGATCCATTGCGTTTTCCTCTGCAGAGGTAACGTCGGACTGGCTCGCGCAGGAGGTGTCTCACATGAGGTCGCGGCGCCAAGCAAATCTCGCGAAACAACGTTTAAGCGAGCACAGTTTGCAGTTAAAGGCACAGCTCTCCCTTTAATGTAAAAACATACTAGACCATGTCTGAAGGCCTGTATGGTACAAAAGTATACTACTATTGTTGTGGTGCCATTTAACAATCCTATATGTCTGTGGTCAAGACATAGGGACCAGTAATTTTCATATGTGATGTTTTTTCTTCCTGTCAATAGAGTACCACCCCCTCTCCTAACCAAAAATAATATTTGTAGGCTAATAACAATAATCAGGACCCTCAGTTCAGTTGAATCTATGTACAATTTTAAGGTACTTATAGTTACTTTATTTCCATTTTTGCTACTTCATACTTATACTCCAATACATTTCAGAGGTAAATATTAAAGCTTTTATACTACTGCATTCTCTGCCAGCTACAGTTACTAACTATTTTAACTTGAAGCAGGACTTGTATTTGTATTGCAGTATTTCATTGTTTTATTGTTACTTTTACTTAAGGAAAACATTAGAATACTTCTCCCATCACTGTATCAGATTAATCTGCATGGAGCCCCAGGGCAAAATCATCCGCTGGGCCTTTATTAACCTTCCCCCCTTCCTTCCCCTCCCTGTGTATGATGTATCCCATGCTAGAATATTATGCCAGAATCCCAGGTTTGTTGTGTTGTTATTTGGTCAAACACAAATTCATTCATGCATCATGTAGGCACACTTTCATCTGATATAATGAAGGTCTTAAAAATAGATTTTGACAAAAGCTCTTAAAGACAAGGCCTCAGGATCGGTTAATGAAGCAGGGTTCACCTTAAGGCCATGTCAGTTAATATTGTTCTTTAGTAGTGTATATTCCCATACCTCTATTTTGCCCGGATGGTAATCCAGGTTTCGTTAAATCAGTGTACTAGTATATTATAGGATTAACCTACTTAAGACTAAAGATTAAGTCTCTTGTCTTCCCAAAAAGACAATTAGAAAACTGCACCGCATTGAGAGTGCTGCTGCCATAGTTCTAACAAGAAACAGTAAAACTGAGCCCATTGCTCTGATTAAATCTTTACAATGGCTTACACTTGGTTATAGAATTGATTTTAAAGTGCTGCTGCATGTTTACAAATCACTTAACAGCCTAAGGCCAAAATACATTCCTGATATGCATGAAAAATAAACCGATTAAGTCCCTTAGATATTTATATGAAGCACTCAGCTACTAGTACCTTGAATCAGAACCAAACTGGGTTCTGAAGCTGCTTTTATGTGCTATGCTGCACACAGATGGAACTATTTTTTACTGTGCCTGAGCCATAGTCACTTTCAAATTAAAATCAAAACCACTCCAGTTCTCATGTACCTTTGATTGATTAATTTCTGCAGGGCAATTTTATTTTTGTATTTCTATCTATCTATCTATCTATCTATCTATCTATCTATCTATCTATCTATCTATCTATCTATCTATCTATCTATCTATCTAATACCAAATAAAAAGTCAAATTAATCAATCAAATTTCATTTGTGTACACCACTTAAATGCACATCAGGCATTTTTTTTTCACCATTGTGTATCAAACAGGCCTTACCTATATTGGAATGAAAAAGCCCTTGTCTGATAATACCTCTTAGGTGAACTAAAATCACTGTAAAGCACAGGCCTCTCGTGGCATAATTGCTTAATTAACAATTGTCCCAGCTGGAGACCTCCTCGATGTGCCACCGGCAAGTCTATAGCTGTCAGAATGAGAGAATAATACATCTGCTCAGTTCCCTGATGCTGGGTGGTCTGTCCTTTGCTAATAGACATGACAGATATAATAAAACAATGACTGGTGCTTAATATGTTCAGGGATACTGTTTTAACACAGCAGTCTGGTGGTAAACAACTCTAATCCCCTTACATCCCCACTTCAATACAGCCGTGTAGGCCTAATTATAGTGGCCCAAACACAACAATCAGACTTTTGTACCCTGATTAGACTCTGTCAGGCAGTCAATTCTTTCGTGTAGCTTACAAATCCTGACTCCTGCACTATGATTGACAAATACTTGCCCCAAACACGGCCATAACCAGAATAGCCATGTGGTTGAGCTATGTGGGTGAGGTAAACGGACTGTGGTTAGGAGCTACCTGAGAGGTTAGATGACGGGCAAATTAAAGTTGTACTCGCGCTCATCTGTCCATGGTTCATTGGTGACTAGCGACATCTAGTGGTTGCAAGTGAGACATGTGTGCTGTTCAAGTTTACTCTGTATGAAGCAGTACCTGCTGTGTTTTCTGTGCATCAATGAAATACACTTAAGTTATGAATGAATGTTTAAACAGAGTGATGCTGCTGAGTCGTCGTTGCGTACAGTAGTCTTATCGATTACTGGCATTTCCCCCCCTTTTTTTTCAAATGACAGCTGTCTCGAGATGCCCCTCTTTCATTGACAATGGGTGACATAATTCCAATAAGGTTAATAATACAGTGTGAAGTGAGTGTGTGTCAGCATCACCCCCAAAACCAGAATAACAATTTGGTCTGACACGCGACCAGCTGGCTACGTCAGGCTGCGCACATTTGCATCTGGCGCACGCAGGGTGGAAGTGAAGTGGACGGTTCAGTAGTCTTCAAGCAAGCCACAGTAGTCCGTTACTAGCTTTTTGTAAGCCTACAAGGTTCAGACGATATCTGACACATGGCTCATTTTTTTCTGTAAAGTGAACATAGCAATTTTTAAGTGTCATAAAGTAGGTGTCAACTTGCAAACCTAGCTGGTTAGCTGGATGGCTAGTGATAATGAACAGTTATGCATTGTCGGACAATCAGCTAGTGTTACTCCGGCTAATGCTCCTTTAGCCATCTTGCTGTCACTGACATCACTCCGTGCGCTGACGACATGAGATGTCTGCATAACTTTGTATCTGCTGGATATTTAGTTGCTACAAAATTTTCACCATGGACAGCGAACGCAGCAATTGCAGGCCGCAGTTTGGAGACAATAGCAAGCTAACCTAGCTAGCAAACTGTCGTGGCTGCTAAGCTTGCTAAAAGCTGTCTTGCCTGGTGCGTGTCTGGAGCCGCACTGAAAACGTCGAGGTATGTTGTTTAACCAACCAAGCTCTGCCTCTGGTCAGTGTGTTTTGGTTTTATTTTGCACGTGATCAGGAGACAGACGTGATAAGGGAGTGCGCTGTGGATCTCTCTATGAGCAAGCAGAACAAACTTTGTTTACTAATTGTTTTTTAAACTACCGTTAGTGGCTAGCTCGCTATTAGCTAGTTAACTTCAAGCTAGCGAGTCATTGATCTAGGGAAAAGGAAAAGTTTGTAAAGATCAGGGAGGTAGATAAAACTAGTTCATCTGCTAGTTATTTGGATACAACCACATGAGATAAACATCGTAGTGTTTCATCATGTGGCTGTAATAATGTGAGCACCTGCCATGACAGGAATTATTATATCAGCCTAGCGATCTTAGGTTTGTTAGGTGTGAAACACCCCATTTTTCTGCTCAACTTTATTTTGGAACTGGTAGTATAAATGCTTAGTAAACACTGTTTGTTTGTCTTGTTTCAGTTTTCCCTTGCATCAAAACTATGTCGGAGTGTTGTTTACAGCATCGAAGTTCACCCTAGGTGACACCTGTTACCCATCTCAGGTGCCTGCACCATGGACCAGGGTGATATGACAGACCAAATCACAGCAGCTTGTAGCCAACCACTGTTCTACAACCAAGACTTGATTGTGATTGACCAAGACTCAGCGCCACAGCCCAGCTTCGACATAATGTCGTCTCAATCCAAAGTGATGAGCAACAGCACTGAAGACCCTGACCTGGTAATAACAGAGGAAGAGCTCAGTAATGGCGCCTGTGAAGTTGAGACTATGGTGGCATTACACTGTCCTGGTGACAGTGGAGATGTTACTGGTGAGGGTGACCATCTTGCTCTAAGCAATGATGACATGTCAGAGTTTTCTAACAGTGACCTCTCTCTCCCTGAGGTCTGCATTTCCACCAACAGCAATAGCTTTGAAGAGGATATGAACTATGAGGTGCAGCAAGCTTATAGGATATTCACAGGCTTTCTCTTGGACAAGCACAAAGGGATCACCAGCCCATTCCTCAATCCCATCGGCCACCAAGAGGCCCAGCATGGTATCGGAGGGGTCCGGGGTCGGGGTCAGGCACAGCTCAGGCAGTCGATGTGCTTACGGAGGATGGAGGAAAAGTTCATCAGCCAAGAGTATGAGACCATAACAGAGTTTGTTGCAGACTTCAGGCTGATGTTGGAGAACTGTTATCGCTACCATGGGGTGGACCACTGGATCTCCAAACAGGCTCAAAAGCTGGAAATCATGCTGGAGCAGAAGCTTACATTGCTATCCAGGTAAACATAATCTAATGATATTGTAAAACAAATTGCTTAGGTGATAAATGTTCAAAGTCGTTACACAGTTGCAATCAAAGAGGACTGTAATGGTGTTTACTATGGCATGTGCATTATAAGTTAATGAAGGCAACAAATATTTGTCTGGCAAGGTTATTAGCTCACAAGTATCTGGTAGATGCAATTTGAGACAGTAGTAGAATTACTTGATTGCTAGCCAGTATTTATACACTGCATAAAATGTCCATAGTGTGTTAATTATAATTATTATGATTATTATTGTTGATGAGAGAATAGGAGTATCTTCAGCAGCGTACATGACCCTATTATTGATCAAATACTTAGTTATATGGATAACACCAGTACTGTCTGTTTACTTCCAACAATCATGAAAGCTACCATCAATCAACGTTATTGTATATTGACACATCTGTTTTTCCCCTCCATCTGTTAAATGAGGGCGCTGCGAGAGAAGACAACCTTGGCAGTGACTTCTAAAGGACGTTTTGGTGCAGAAGAGGAACGGGGATCAGGGGGCACCTCCACAAGACGGAGACTGGCACCTCGAAGCCTGGCTACTATCACTGTTGGTGGGCATGAGTCGATCATGGTCCAGACCTTACGACTAGAAGAGCAACAGAGGGCCAAGGAGGAGAAGAGGTGAGAGAATATTTTAGTCATATGTAGATGTTTTTTTTATAGGGAAAATATTACAAGAAATTTGTTAAAATTTGGTGGAAAAGTAAACCAGCCAACAATCTACATATATTTTCTGACCTTTCAGGCAACGTGAGCTTGAGAAGAAAGAAGCAGAGGAAATGTCAGCCAAAGAGGTGGAAGAGTGGGAGCAGACTTTGTTGTCAGAGGCATCCCCCCATACCGTGGATACACTTTGGGAACTCCCTGCCATAGGGCATTTCCTCTGCCTGGCTCAGACTGCCCTTAATCTCCCAGAGATTGTGTTTTTTGAACTGGAGCGTTGTTTGCTGATGCCCCGCTGCAGCCTCCTGCTCTCTAAAATCATGTCTTCCCTACTGTCCCCACCCCAGCGAAGGGCCACTCTGCACCGCCGGCCTGCACTGCCTTACCGCCGCTGGGAGTCAGAGCTCAGGCAGCGGGTCATGGGTTGGTATCGAGTTGTTGGTGCCTCCCATGATCAGCCAGGTCGGGCTGAGCAGCTGGGACTCTGCCACCAGTTTTTTAGCACCCTTGGTGAGGTGAGTCCTTTGGAGGAGAAACCTTTTCACTCACTGCCCTTTTACCAGCGAGTATGGCTTCTGAAGGGGCTGTGTGATCATGTGTATGAGACACAGAAAGGTGTGCAGGATGCTGTGCTGGCCCAGCCCATCCATGAATGTAGAGAGTCTGTTTTGGGCTATGACAGCAAGGAGAATGCCTATATACATTTCCCACATTTCTGTGGTGCAGACTTGAGGATCTACTGCCAGAGCCCCAGCACACCTCCAGCCTTCCCTTTCCCTTCCGTGTGGGTAAAAAGGGTTGAAATAGAGGCAGGAACAGAGGGTGATGAGTCGGATGGGATGAAGGCTGAGGGGAATAAAAGTGACAGGGAATGTTTCGGGGGCTCCATGGACACAGGAGATTCTGATGATTTTGGAAAGGAAAAAGCTGAATCACTTGGAGTTTTCAAAAGGGAAAATGGGGATGGGGAGGAAGATAAAAAAAGGTTTAAATTGTGGTCACTGAAGAAGGAGGAAGGGTCTGAATCAGGGTCCTCTGATGGGGATTCCTGTGAAGACTCTAAAATGGACTTAAAAATACACACTAACTCTTTGACCCTTTCACGCACTAGTCTTACGGGAAGAAGTGGTGTGAAAATGACTTTTAAGGAAGAGACTGTAGAGTTGGAGCATCAATCCAAGAGACTTGCATTAAAACAGGAGCCGGGGTTCTCATTGTCCTCAATGCGCACCATTAAAGCAGAGACACAGGAGCCTTGTCTGAGTGTAGGGGAGCACAGCTACACAGGCAGGTCCCCTGCTCGCTCAGTGTGTCTGGCCTCCCCAAACAAACTGGTGGAGCTCAAAATGGAGGGAGAAAGTCCAAGTCAGGGACACCAAAGACCTTCCTGTTTGGAACGTTGCAATAGCAAAACTAGTAATGTTAAATCTGAGGAGCATGACTGCTGCTGTGGCACAACAGGGCTAGCAACACAGCTGTCTTCTGAGAGCACTCAAAACTCAAGTGAAGAGAGGGTGAATGACAAAATCTGGACTAAAAAAAAAAAGCGGAAGAAAAAGCGAGGGAGGGAACAGCTGCCGAGGGTGAAAGGAGAGCACAAGCAGCTGCAGCACGTGGACAGGATGAGGCTGTCCCAGGCTGAGGCTGCCAAGTCTGCAGTGCGGAGAGTTACCACAACGATCAAGAGAAAAGACAAGAAGAAAAAACATAAAATGGGTGAGAAATAGCTTGAGATCTAAATATTGATGTTAGTTTAGTGTTTTCATTTGGCATCTACTTTCAGTGTGCGTTCATTGCTACAGTGCCATGTGTGATAGTTTAGAAATTTGCTTTATTATTCACTTTTTTTCACAATTTTCTCAATAACAACTTGTTGGTCCAGTGACTGTTTTCTTTTTGACAGGAAAAAAACATGAATCTTCAAAGAAAATTAAAGATGAACCTTCAGTTGAACCATCATTTAAGGTATTCACTCTCATGCAAAATGATACACTAATTTCTATCGCAATATATTTTTAGTGCTGTATTAATTGAGTAATAATTAAAAAAAATCTATAATCATTTTGTCATGATTTAAGCCTCACCGTTCTTCTGCCCCTATTTTTCTTAAGATGTTCTTACTCAGTTTGTTTTTTCTTCTCTAGTTGGTGTGCACCAGTCTTGAGGAGTTGCGAGAGCTGATCAGTAAGACAGAAGACGAACTTGATGACTTGGAGAGCACCAAAAAGAGACTGGTATGTGACAATCATAGTTTTGTCAAAATGATGTACCAATATGCCCCAGACCCTTAGAGAATACAATGCACTCACACATTTTAATGTTGGTGTCTTGACTAAGGTTTCTTTTACATGTTTGAACTGGCAGGGCCGGTGGTATTACAGGAGAGAAGCAGTGAAAGACCTCCACAGCACTCTTATCAGACTACTGAATGAGCTTTCACCCTGGGAACCCAAACTTGTTAAGGCCTACCAAAGGAACAGGTAGAACTCATTTGACATTTAAATGAGGACTGGATCAGATCATCATAAAAAGCTGTCTCTTGATAACGGTGCTTAGTTTGTTTGTTTGTTCCGTTTGAGCACAAAGCTTAATAACCACAACATTGATTAAACTGCTTATTGTATTTTATGATCATTGCTGCACCAGAAAGAAATTCCTGCTTTATTATTTCTTCTCTTGCTTCTATATCAGGCTTCGTTTGAAGAAGGAATTTGATGATTTCAAGAAGCACCCAGAGTACAATAACTTTGTTCGTGAGGAGTGTATTTCGTCATCATCATCAGATGAAGATGAAGAGAGAGGTTTGGGGAAAGAGGTGTTTTCACTCACAGATCATTATAGAAGATCAGAAGAGGAAGACCTGGAACATATAGTACCCAGAGGTCTTTGGAGTGGAGGTAAAGTAATTTAACTACAATCTAACATTCGAATTTTGGCTACTGTAATGTCATGATAAAAATTCAAATTGTGTTTTCCTTGTTATGCCTCTGCACCAGTGACAGCCATTTTTTCAGGTTGTCACATTTTTTTTCAAATTTGGCACAAACATTCACTTGGACTCAGGGATGAACTGATTAGATTTTTGTGGTCATAAGTCAAGGTCACAGTGACATCACTAAACACATTTTGGCCATAACTCACAAATTCATATGCTAATTATGGTACAAATTTAACACAAATGTCTAATAGCATAAAATGAATGAATGAAGTGGTGACATTTTATGTACAAAAAATGGTCAAAGGTCAACTTCACTGGGACATCATAATGTTCTTCAAAAGCAATTCTGGCCATTATTCAGTATTGTTTCTCAGGAAGGGGAGATTGTGACCATATTTCCTACATCTTGGCTGGTAGGCAGAGGCATACAACCGTGATGCAGTAATTCTAGATCTAAAGGCTGCTGTGCCGTGACAAGTGACACAGTTATGATGTTATGTAACTGCCATAGAGGAGTTACAATGAATGTCACTACCTGTCTGTCAAAGTGTAGGTAGCTAATTTAGCCACACATCCCTAATAGACATCTCTATTGTGTTCTCAGCAAGCACTAGGGATTTTGTGGCTGACTCTGCTGGAGAAACAACGGCGACCTACGTACCTCCCATCCACCTAAAACACCCTCTGGCCAGCACAGAGAAAGGCGTCAGTCTGCTGTCAAGAGTTCAGACTGGCAGCACTAACATTACTTCTACACCTGACTCTGGGCCACAGTCTAGATCTGAACTGATCCCATCAAATCAATCCGGGGAGTCAAACTCAGCATGGGGAGCAGGATTTCCAGCCCAGACTTCACTGTCACCCAGACCCCCCATTCTCCACCCCACCACTGGACTACCTAAGGGCTACACGCCCATCCCCACCCTGCTGGCTAAGAGTGTGGGAAATAAAGTGACCTTAATGAAACGACCTGCTGATTGCCCATGGTTCAACAACATAGATAGAAAGAGCAAAGGGTCTTTGGTCTCCCTGCCTACCTCTGCAGTGGCTACTACAAAACTTTCAAATGCACAAAGTTCTCCATCCAGTTCCCAGCAGAACTCACAACAAATGCAGGCACAAGGACTACAACAGACGCATGTACATAGTCAGCCAGGAATGGCCACAGTGACGGCAGCTCCTCTTAAATCACCACAGGCCAAACCAACCCAGGCTGTACCAAAAAGTCCTGTTCAGGTGGTGTACAAGGTACCTGAGGGGCTGGGTCACCTTGTAAGAAAAGACAGCAGCAGCCCAGTTAAGATCTCTGTTCATCCTGTCATGAACCAGAACACTGGGGAGAAGGTCATGCAGCAAGTAGTGATTCTGCCTTCTAACCTTCTTATTCACAAAACTGAAGAAAAGGTGTCTTCGTTACATCAACAACAATCAAAGGGTATTCAGGTCCCAGTTTCTAAAGTGGCCAGCCCCTTATGTATGTCCACCAATGTGCCTGGGTTCACCATTCCTGAAAACAGAATCCCTGTTCAGCAAGTGGCTCCCCTAAAAGATGCCAGGACAATGAGAACCCCTTCTCCTTCTGTTTCCCCTCGTCAGCAACAGGGGACCCTGAACGCAGCAGGGTTCAAGGGGTCACAAGTCTGCAGTACCCAAGCTAGCACACCACAAGGTGTCACACCAAACCCCTCGCCCATCACAACTCCTTCCAGTGCAGTTTCTACTGAGTCTGTTAAATCTACAGACCCGAAGCAGGAGCTTAAGACTGTGTGTATCCGAGACTCCCAGTCCATCCTGGTAACAACAAGAGGAGGCAACACAGGCATTGTTAAAGTTCAGACATCATCAGACCACAATGCACTTGGCTCTCTGCCCACCAGTCCAGTCATCACCATCTCACCTCAGTTTAAAGCCTTCCTCGTGTCCAAGACATCACCAACTTTTTCTCCTTCTGCTCCCTCTCAGACTTCCCCTTGCACCATCCCAGCAGTGACAAATATCTCAGTAGCCCAACCTCAGAAGCAGGTTCCTTCAGTATTAAAGCCCCCTTCCACTGTTACAACCCCCATGCACACTGCAGTCACTGGTAGCATTCCTGTCACAGGCGCAGGAAGCCAGACTGCAGTCACTGTTGCTTTAAGTCAAGGCTCCAACACCTCAACTTGTTCTACAGTTGCAGCAAAGCCTGGCCAGCTAGCACAGGCAGCTGCTGCCGGTTCTCATTTTCAAGCATCATTAGTAAAAAACACTGTTGTTGTCCCATCACTGAGTACTTCTGGTGTTTCCCAAGTTCTTACACAAGCAGAAGTCATCAGCAAGAGTGGTGTGAAACGGGCCAGTACAGATGAGAGATCCCAAGTTACTAAATACATCCTGGTTACTCCCTCTTCTTCCTCCACCTCAAATGTAGCCTTACCAACAGGCACACCCTCTTCCACAAAATCACTTCCTGGTTCAAGAGTCATGTTCATCAGTCAGCCTACAGCAACATCTTCCACCACCTCCATGGGAAGCATTCCAAAGCAGACGATAGCAACAGGGGCAAGTGGACAGCTGCTGAACACGTCATTATCAACTCAGACTCGAAAGACTGGAAAAATCCCAGGCCAACCTATTGGCAGTGGCAACTCAGAAGCATTGTCTAAGGTCAAGAACATCAGTCTACCTTCAGGTGGGTTTGTTTGATGTGATATATTACTGGAATTCTCATAACTGCTGTATCTTGTGTTTGATTCAGTCTTTTAAATTTGCAAAAATTGGACATAATTAATTTGTTCATATTGACTTCATATGGTAATTGGAGAAATGTGGCACAAAGGTAACTTAAGAAATATTTTAGAGTATTACGACAAGCTATGAATAATAAGTCACAGTCTGTTTTTTGGTGTGCTTGTGCCGCTCATGCTGATCTTGTTCCCATCTATTAAAAGCAAAACAAGGATTCAGTTAGAAATATGGAACCATTAACTCACTGATTGTGTCAGTTTTACAGATGTTGATTATTTTATTTTATTTTTTTTGCCTTTATTTGATAGTACAGTGAGAGGTAGACAGGAAAGTCAGGGAGAGAGAGTGAGGGGATGACATGCCGCAAATGGCCGTGGGTCAGATTCAAACCCATGGCCGCTGCGGTTAGGACTAAGTCCATGTGGTACACGCTCTACCAGGTGAGCCACTGAGGCGCCCCACAGATGATGATTTGATAAGGTAGACAGTTTGTCAACATGAAAGACATGTATTGCAGCAGGGCCTTCTCTCAAGAAAACAAACTACTTTTAATAGACTAAAGAACCCATCTCAAATTTAAATATTGTATTAAATTTGTAATACTCACACCCCAAATACAGCCCCTTTAACAATGTTGGGTTATTGAGTAAAATATTTTTCTCATGTGTCTCTAGGCGTTCAAATCCAGTTGTCAGGGAAGACAACAACCATTGGACAGACTATTGGTGCCCTGTCATGTTCTCCTTCCAAGAGCACACCAGTGTCTGTCTCAGATACAGGCTGTCCAGCATCCACCGCCTCTGGACTGGTCCTGGTCGCAAGTTCAAATACCATCACAACCTGTTCTACCCAGCTTGCTACTTATGCTTCTCTGACCACCAGCTCTCATCTCCAGGGTATCCCTTCCTTCCCCATGATCTCCCAAACAGGCTTGTCCACATCTACTGGTGCCACCCTGCCTACAGGAAACGTGATAAAGAAGGACCTTGGAATGTGTGCAAGCGGACCATGCAGCTTTCCTGCTCAGCAAACCACTACTGTGCAGAGTAGCCAAGCCCAAACCTCCACACCCGCTCTTGTCCGTCAGCACTCAAAAATCCAAAGTGGCATTGGTGAGGAAACCTCTTCCTTCTTAGCTTCCACTCAAGTTGCTCTCAATAAAACTTGTACATCCATCTCCTCGGCAACAACCACAAGTATCCCATTCACCACCTCTGCTACCGGCACAATCCAGCAGAGGATAGTCATCAACACCTCCACGCCCCTTGCTGCTGGCACACAGATCCTTCTTAACAGTGCACGCTTTGTAGTCCCTCCCCAGGGTTTGGGTCCAGGCAGTCATGTCCTTATCATCTCTAGCCCTGCACCGCAGCAAGTGCCTAGTACCAGTGCCACTAGCATTGGAGCGTCATTACCTTCCCATGGGGCAAGCAATGTCACTGTAGCCCCTCGAGCACCAGTTTTACCCCAGTCCCCAGCCAGGTTGTCTGGTGTACCAGCCGCAAGTTCTCCTTTTGTAGCATGCACACCTGCTGTTGGTCCATCATTGCTAGCAACCACTCCCAGTGTCACACCAGTCCAACTAACTGGAACACCTGGCCAAGGCTCAACGTTGTTACCCAGTAAAACAAATGTAGTGTCTGCTCTGCCTAGATTGCCAGCTGTGCATGCTTGTCCCTTTGCATCACCTCATGTAGGTACACCCACTCTGGTCTCATCTCCACCAAGGTTAGGCAGTGTACCAGCGCTACTTTCCCCGGAGGTAACCACTGCTCCTGCTTTTGGCCCAGCACTGGCTGCAATCAGATTAGCTGTGGGTACACCCAGGCAAGCTGAATGTTCATCCAACATTTTGCCTGCAGTAGCAAACCCCTTGCCCAGATTGTCAGCACCGCTATCATCCTTGCCTGTTTTACCCAGCCCATCAGCTGTCTCCCTGCCCAGTCCTGTCATACCAGTTCCAACACCTCTCTCAGCTGCAGGTCCTCTGGTAGCAGGTACACCTTTGCATTCTTCTCCTTCTGCCCAGCAGGTGCTTTCAGTGACAACTCCGGGCCCAGGCATACAGCCCCAGCAGACAGCAGTTAGAATTGCAGCACCCTCCACAGCTCTTTCACAGGTTTTACTGCCTAGCGGACTAGGCAACACATCAGTCAAAAAACAGTTGCCTGCAGGCATGCAGCCAGTGCTTGCTGGCACACGAACACAAGTATTGCCAACAGTGGCTGTCCCACCAATTGTAAGTGCGGTGTCTAGGATGCAGACGCTACCCATTGCTACAGTTCCACCAATCGGAAGCACTGTTAACGCCTTTGAAACAGCACCTGTGGTGACCACACCTCCATCAAGCACCACTGTAATAATCACTCCAGCTCAACCTATCACATCACTGAAGACAAACAACACCATCCACCCACCTGTCATTCTGACCAACCAAGCACTTGGAAAGCACTCTCTGCAGACCTCAGCCTTAGGTATGCATACCAATGTAGCATCAAAGCTACTAATTAGCCCTGATGGTGCTGTTTTGAGTACAGCTCAGTGCCAGGTCAATCCAGTAGAGCTGAATGCCTGCCCCAAACCACTGGATGCACTGGTGGTTTCCCCCAACAGTTCCACTGGAGCACTACACACACATGATTCCTCTTTACAGCCTTCACAGGCAAACACAAAGTGAACCAATTAACTGAGACTGCTAGCTATGCGAGAACTCAGACACCACTTTTCAGCTGCTTAGTTTCGGCAGGGCTCATATCCATTGCTTGTAGTAATCCTGGGTTTAGTTAAAGAACTGTTTTTCAGCTGTACTTTGACTCATAACTTACACTTAGGATATAGTAGGTTTTACCCTTTGGTTAGAATATCCTATAGGTAAAATGTATGCTCACTCAAACATACTGGAAATGTATACTGTGATGGTTTTCTCGAGTGAAAACTAATGAGGTTTGCCTCAGATGAATGTTATAGACTCTTGACTTTCCTTTTTTTAAACCTCATGGCCAGTAATGACAACCATTGTAACAAATCAGTAGATAATGGGAGGGTAGATGAAATGAATTTCAACTCAAGCTTTTGTAATACTTTTCAATGCCATTAGATATTGCTTGAAGAAGTAATAATTGGGATACTATTCATTGGTACAACTTGCTCTACTTTATCTGTCAGTTTGAACAATACAACTGTCTGTATCGAGATTTTGTCACATTGTCCTTGTAACTGTTTGAGAACTACATTTTACTTTTTAGCAATATAAATAAACTAATAGATGAATTTGTACTACATGTTTGCGCCCATATAAAATGTTTTGAAGTCACATTTATTTATTTTTACCATATAGATTTTTCAAAAAATATTTACTAGGTACATTTTCATTGAACAAATGTGGACGTTATTGCATGGAAATAAACAATGCGACTGTCCCCGACAAGTGTGTTTGAACTGCTTACTTATACACCGTTTCCTTGTGAAATAATTTTTTATTGTTTATTGACAGAACCTACAGTATATACATTGCATTCATACATGTGAATAATTTTACAAAGTGAGGAATACAATAGTTTCACCTATTTAGCTATCAAGCATAAGGAACCATAATGACGGTGACAGATTAGATATCAGACAACAGATGAGGTTTAGAGTTCGCTCTCTGTTATTTTCCTTTCTTCTTCAGACATCTGTACATCATCTACAGAAGTCCGTCAGGGGGAATAGGGAGGAGGCAGTGGCCCTGAGGCAATCTTTTCATAGGCTGGAGGAGCATTAGGAACCTGGAGAGGGGTGCGACAAATACATCTAAATGAAACAGCTGAAAATTTAGGAAAAAATCCCATTATGTTCATTCTATCACATGTATAATGTACATATTGCACATATGGAATTCAGCATTGTATCTGTAAACTTTAGACATGTTAAAACAATCTTGGACTCTCTACTGATGAGCTCTTAGAACTTGTAATTGCCACAGGAGAACAGCGGAAAGGAACACAAAGGGATGATCAGCACCATCTCATATGATCTGAAACCAACAGCCCCACCCCCACCCCCCTTTTTCTGGCACACACAAATGCAGACCTCCTTTGGGAATGAAACATTTTTAATACCCAGGTCTGGTGACATAATAATCTCTCCTTCAGGCATCCATTGCATCAACTTCACGTGCTCTACACTGTGTTCAGGGCCCTGGGGCTCAACAAGTGCCCTCTGTAATGGACTTTGTGTTGTGCAGGATTTGAGTCAGTCCACTTGTTAATTGTTGATTGGTCATATTAATAATGATAGACATTATTACTTACTGTCTGTCCAGTGGTTTATTTTGTTATAGTCATGTTATCTGTTATCTTTTTCCTGGCATTAAAAATACTAGTGTCAGGTAAAAGGAGGTTGTAATTGAGGGCCTGTAAAGTATCTTACCACAGGTCGGAAGCTGCCAAAGTCAGTAAGAGCCATCTTGTTATCTGCTGAAGGTCCTGCCTCTGAGAATTGGCCTGTTGTGTAACCTGGTGACCCTGATCTGGGGCTCTGCAGGAGAGAGAAAGATGAGTTGAAAGTTATGGAAAAACATTGAGAAATGAGGACAAACATCCATTAGGGAAAAAGGAGAGAAAGCAGAATGAAAAGATATACCAAAGGCAACAAAGAACTTGAAGATTATTATAACGTATTTATGGAAATTAATTGTGGAAATCACTTTATGGCATGTGTGGAATTGTGCAGAAACATTCAATGTCTGCTTTTGTTTGTCAGAATAACACAGATTAATCATCCCTTTAAGTACAAAATGTCAAGGCTAATGCTTCATTAAAGGGAATATGATTGTCTCACCCTGATTATTTTGTAGCCACTCCTCTTCTTGAAGTACCAGCAGCCCAGGAGGAGCAAAGCTGCCAGGATGACCACCAGCAGAACTATTCCCACTGCCCTGGATTTGCAAAGACATACAGAAACGTTCAGTTTATAGCCTTATCTCTTACTTTGGCATGTGAAATTTACAGTGTCCATATCAACATAGTTGATTCATATTCATATAACAAAGACTTTTATCAGAATACTAAAGCTCCATGGTACAACCAAATAATAATAGATACATACTCCTCAGCTCTGACATATCCTCGTCTGCTGCTGGCAAAATAAATGTTGAAGTCTCCACGAGGCATTCCGTTTGTATGATTACACCGCATCAAGCTAAAAGTCAAGAGAAAATCATTTTACCAACTGAGCAACTACAATGCAGTAACACAGTGATTATTTCAAACAATGTAATAAAACACATTTTCTTTCAGTGGGACACATCATATTCATTTTCATCATGTAAATGAGGATGAAGAATTTCCTATATACTCTATCATGCCAGGTGTCAAATCAGTCTGCTGTATTGGATTAAATATTAAATATGCATTTGTTAAGAACAACACTCAACATTATTCCCACACCAAGATTCATATACTTAATATAGATTCAGAAACCAAACGCAGGACATAATCAGTCTCAACACACTTGATGCTGTGCACTGTTAAACTGATTTGTTAGCCCTTGGAATATAATAATTTTTCTTTTCTTCCTCTTCTCATTAAGATCCATTAAGATAAAGCAATAGGAAAATATGAAAAAGTATTATATTTAAATTACAAGTAGAATTAAGTTGAAAATGTGACATCTGTGCAGTTTAAATATAAAGATTACGAATCAACAGGTTGTTAAGACAGCAAAGCAGTCAGAACAATAACCTATCAATATTTCAAAGTGGATCTACGCTAACTGACAAAACACTGTGTCAGTAATGTAGTCATTCTGCATTACCTGTTGCAGTAGATGTAAAGAATCAATTCATGCAACAGGCAGCATACTGCAGCATCTAACCTCTGCAAGCTGTCTGATCAGGTAACAGGCTATTTCGAGCTGACAATAACGTTACTTAAAAGTAGGCTAACTCTTTGCACAATAAAAAATATTCTCCAGTATACACAATATGACTACCTCTGCTGGAAGAAAAAAAAATGCGAACAGAACCAAATCTTACCAAATTGGATAATTAGATTGAAGAGAACCGTTCTTCTGGTTGGGATGGCTTCTCAAAAAAAGACTGCCTTCTCGAAGTTCTGTTTTTTCACTCCTGAAATATCTTGCCTCAGTACTACCGGAGAGCAGAGAGGGGCAGAAAACCCTCATGACCGTCACGGGTTAGAGGCTCATGGCTAAACCCATTGAAGCGGAGTAATTACCGTGAAACCCCGCGGCCCTGAACGCAACAACATTATCCACTCGTGAAAATACAGGCGTCAGCTGCTGGCTGTTCATATGAAAGAAGTGTGTGTGTATGTTTGTGTGTGTGTGTGTGTGTGTGTGTGTGTGTGTGTGTGTGTATGTGTGTATGTGTGTAATAGCTACAGTAATAGTAACACCTTCAATAATGTAAATAAACTAAGTCATAAACTCCTGATTCAATAATTTACTGTAGCAAGCTAAAGATGCCATGGGAATTTTACGGTTGTATGTAAAGTACAGAAAATTAAAGATTCATAGCTGAAAAAAAGGCCTATCACAACTTGTTCTAGTGCTAAAATTATTTGCTGTTCATTTACTCTCAGTGGGAAGGATTACTGAAACTTGTCGTCTTTATAACATTTCACTTTGAGGCAAATAATTACATCACAATTCAAAAGATAAATATTCAAAAATAAATACCAGTCACGAGGCTGATCATTGGCTATAGCCGTACTGCCATACTTTCAGTGTACCTAACTGAGAGAACAGTAAGATGTACAGGCTTTGTGGAACCAAAAGTTAATGATTCAACAAAATGAAAATGTCTGAAGTAAATTGTTACCACATTTGGAAATAAATCCAAAACTTCCCACACACATTGTTGTTGCACAAGGGTGTAGGGATTTTTTTTTATTGTTCAGCAAAAAAAGATGGGAGATGAGATGAGATCCTTCAAAAACACAAGGGAATAAAGACACTACATGCCTATAAAGTGTCACCAGTCAACAGACTACATAGCAAATACTACCCATATGAAGCAGTTTGGTGTCATTTGAATCTCCAAAAAGTGAAGTCATCCTTTCAGGAGAGCGGGGAGCTTGGACTCCTTTTCTTCTCATTTAATCTTCAGCTTGGTGTGGAGGAAAAGTTGAGGCAAATGTGTTTGTAGATTGTGATTGGCATGGAAGAATGACGTTTTTCATTTCAGTGGATTTAGTGTATCATTTGAGTGGAGTCCATCTCCAGACTCATCAAGCTTTATCTGTTTAAAAAAAATAATAAAAAAATACCCAGTTGAACTTCGATGAAGGCACCAATAAAGGATAAATGTCACTGTATAAAACTGTATTTTCTTACAGCCATTCATTCTCAATTGGTTCTTAATGTTTTTTTGTATGAGTTCATCATTCAATCTGTTGCCTCTGGGCCTGAACTGTTGTGTTGCACAAACATTTTCCTAAGATGATCAAAATGGAAATGTCACGGTCTGAGAGGGTTAAGCTGGACAAGAAGGCATTCAGAGAGAAGGCAAGGCAAGAGACAAGGTACAGCAAAATGTTTGTCTAGTCTGCAAGAACATTTCATTTTTCTCCACAAGAGGGAGACCAAAACCTCTTTATGAAATTGAGTCAGTCTTAACTTGTCTTCAGCTGAAGTTCGATGCTTTTAGAGAATCTTAGATGCTATGGATGAGTGAATTCCTTAATGGAGATATATGTATACCCACTCATTCCTGAGTAATCCGGAGCATGTGAGAAAATCTACGAGGGAGAGGGGGACTTTTGTAGCCCTTGGCAAGACTTGGTTAAGTTTTTAGTAGGAAGCAGTCAGCTGATTGGCTGATCGTTCATGTGTTTGATGTGATGTCAAATCTACAAGCCGACATCACATCAAAGTGAAAGTGAAGTGAAAAAATATAAATTTACCTTGCATGGTGGAAACTATTATACTCCCCTGTTAGTGCACTGCAATGGGAAAGGCAGGTAGTTTAGTTCTGCTGGTCAAAACTTTAAGGACCAGATGTAAACATCACAGTTCCTTTATGCTGCTAAACGTTAAGAAGACTCACATCATGACAGGATTTTATTATTTTCACGCATAAATCTATGTATCTCCGAAAAACTGCTGTCGGCAAACCACCACTAGCATCACCGAGAAATCAACCAAGGATGCAGGAGCTTCTTGTGATTTGGGACATATAAGGGTCATGAACGTCAGTTAGGCTGACTCTCCACCGGTTCCCTTTAACGATTCTTCCAATTTGAAAGAAATAGGGGGGTATGGAGGTACTTTGTGGGACCCCCTTTTTTGTCTATGTTCCCCCGAAAATTAACTGTACCCACAATTATAACTTCCAACGTCCGATAAAATCCTCTCATGAGGCCGTTTTGAGGGGATGCTCTCTCCCTTCCAATAGATATGTACGCCGTGAGAAAGAGAAGTCACCCCCCCCACCCCCCCGGTCCTCCCGACGGGGATTACTGCCGTTGTGTTAGCTATTACTCGGAGGAGCTGTTTGAACAGCGGGACGGAGAGGGAGCTAGAGACTCTTTTCCAGCTCCAGCTGCCATCCTACTCCTGCTCCTCCCCCTCCTCCTTCTCCTCCTCCTCCTCCTCCTCCTATTCCACCAGAACCACTTCTCTTTCTCATCCCATCCAGAGGTAAATAAGCCAGATTCAAAAATAACTACCTCTTTTCAGACAAATTGTTTACCTTCCTGAGTGTTTCCGCTCTGTCAGACACACAAGGCAGCCGTTGGGAACCGTTAACGGGATCAGACAGGGGGATAATTCTGATTTGTGATGGGGTCTTTGCTTTGTACCCCTGCCTCCCTGGCGTCGGGTCGGGGTTACGCTTCCTTAGGCAAGTCCGAGGTCCACTTTGTGAGCTAGAGATGCATCGATGAAGGCCATAGCAAGTGTTAGGTGAAAATATAAACCCATACGCGACCTGTATGATAAGAACAGCGGCACAGAGTCGGCAGCCCACGGCTAAATGGGTTCGATGCACTCCCGGTGATGCTAGCTTAGGCAAGTTACAGATAGACCTAGCCAGCTAGCTTACGTTAGCTGCATCTCTAGTTGTTGCTAGCCGGCTAACCCCGAGTTGATTTTAGTCACTTTCACAATCGTCGTTACCTCGCTCGTCCCTTTAACAAGTGTCTACGATGCCATAATAATAATAGCGCAGTAATAATACGTTCACTTCTGGTGTCATGTTGTGCTAATGTCGCTACTATGGTTTGGGCAGCCCGGAAACCTTAACTGACAGTAACAAAAGACATAATTCGAGATATAACTAGCTACAAAATTTTATTAATTGCTCTTTGTATAGTATGTCTTAGCTGCTAAAATGAATATAAAAACCCCATACAAGCTAACGTTAGAGGTTATACATGCAGAGACACAGAGAGACAAATCGTTGTAACTTTTTTATCATTAATTATATCAGATAGATTTGTCACCACCCGAGTGTATAAGCAATGCACAACACACTGCATCTGTAAGAGAGCTAAAATTGTTGACTCTACGCTTCTGCAGCCGTTGCATGTTCGACTTGAGGAGGTTTAAATATCACAGTTAAAAAAATGCACGTAGTGAAGGTGTGAATTTATAAAATGATAAAAGACCAATGGAACAAGATGGTTTGGACACCAGAACCTTCTGGTTGACACCAGAAGCTGCTGCAGATCGATAACTTGTAAAGACGTGCCCAGGCTTGCTATAAGGCCGGTATAATCTGTCTACGTCAGAGGTGCAGTTATGTTGGCACTGTAATAATGCACACTCATGAGCTGACACAGTTTTGAATCCCTATCCTACAAGAAGCACACTCTAGTTACATGGAAAATATGTGACATTTTTTTAATATTAATGATCTTAATGGGAACAGTGCTGCATGTAATGGCATCAAACCTTGTTGACAGTGAGCATTCTTTAAGACTGTCTGTTGCCACTTTTTTTTGTCCCTGCAGCATTTTGGAGATGTGAGGAATAGGAAGAGATTGGTGATATTGAGCAGCCTGTGCATTGACACGACCTCTCGACCTCATCTTCAGCATGAATGGTGATATGCCTCATGTCCCCATCACTACTCTTGCTGGAATTGCTAGCCTGACAGACTGTAAGTGCAACATCATCTCTCTAATGCTGTTCACATTGCCTAAACACTAACATTCAAACCAAGATGCGGCAAGGCTAAGGAATACTTGACTGGTTGTGTAATTATATCAGAAGATGGTTAATTGTGATGCTTCTCACTCTTGGTGAGTTCAGGGCAAACTGAGATGAAGTTCATGTTTCTGAAGACGGGAAGTTTTAGGCTCAGGTACCTAAATCAGTTCTGATGAAAGAAAAACATGAAATAAAGAATAACTGTTTAAACAACAGAACATTATACTTTTCACCAAGATATGATTTATTGCAGAACTATTGTATTTGATCTCATTAGATTGTAAAAGTTTACATAACAAAGGGGTGTCATTATGAAAATAGAGACCGATGGACATTTCTTCACTCTAATGTTACCATATATGTAATGCCTTTTGATAAAAGGACAGCATGTTCATTAGATTATTACAGATTTTTTAAATCACACATGGAAGCCTTCAAACTATTAATTGTGAATAGAAAGTTGTAAACACCAAAATGAAAGTTTTATTTTGTGATTTCATCCTGCTTCTTTTAATTTTCCAACGAACCTAACTTGTCTTTCAATCATCCTTTTAGTGTTGAACCAGCTTCCCTTGCCTTCTCCTCTCCCTGCCACCACTGCTAAGAGTCTGCTCTACAATGGAAGGATCTCTGAAGAGGTCAGCAGCCTGCTGGTGTGTCGGGATGAGAATCTGGTGACTCAGCTGGCACAAAGTCTTAACCAAGTCTCCACTGAACACATGTAAGTACCATGTACCAAGTAATGTTTCACACCTCGCTGCACTACCAGTTTAAGAGAGAAAACCTTGCCAGTAGTAGCTGAAATCATTGTTACAGCAATATGGTTGTCAGCAATGTTATTGTGAATGTATTACAAAGTGTGATAACATCATTGTTTATCAGTAAAGCCGGGCATTGCTCATTCAATTTCAATGATGACATTATAGTTACTGTTTTACCAGATCAGTAAGCTCATGCTCTCGGTTGTCAGGATCATGACGGGCTAGTCTAAACTGCACTGAAAGTGGTAGAGGCATCAGAATGCTATAGTCAAAACTGCATTTAGGAAAGTGGGCAGCTATTTCCTG